GGTGGGAAACGCAGGCCCTGTGATCACGGCAAACGGTCCGTGGCGGTGCCGCGGGGGCACAAGGCCGGACCAAGCGAACTCTTGAAACTCATATGGACGACGCAAAAGAAGCCTCTGAAAAGACCTCTGGTTTCTGTTGAGAGATTCTGGAACGACTTGTGGTGTGTGTGTCTGTGTGTGTGTGTGTCTGTGCCAGGCACTTCTAGGCTCCCCCAAGGTCTCCGGAGCCACATGGGCGAAGGGAGCTGTTAAAAGATATGTCGAACACTCCATCCTGTCATCGCCTCCTTGCCTTCCAGGCACCCGCATCCCCTACACATCTAGAACCCCCCTAAACCCTTAAGCCCCCTAAACCCCTAAACCATTGAACAGCTCCTGTGAATATGGAGCTCCGCGTTTCAGGCGCTTCAGCTGACACCATCCTTCTCGTTGGCAGCGGTTGCAACAGGTCAAACACATCTAGGAATCATTCAAAGTTATGTTATTGGATGCTTCGGGTTTACGGCTTCCTTAGCGGACTTGTTGTTGTGTAGTTAAGACGGTGCAGTTCTATGCTCACACCTTCTGAGAACTGGCTTTGTGTTGCCAAGCCCCACACCTGTCGCAGGATATCTGAACCAGAAAGTCAGAAACGGTGGAAAGCTCCTGGACCTTCGGTCGGAAATCGCCAAGACAAACTGATACAAAGCTGACTATCATGCTCAGTAGCTCATGTCGCCCACGTGCATGTTACAAGAATTCAGATGCTTTCTCAAGTGAGTCTCTGGGCTCTTGAAGTGCAAGGTTTCACGAACTGTGAACGATAGAGGCTGTGCCTCATCCACCTATTTTAGCCGAAATCCCCACAATCTATTTTCTAGGGTTTCCATTTCTTTTTCCTTTGATGCTCCTCTAACCCTGCTCTGTAGCAGTATCGAGGCCTCCTCTTCAAGCTGAATCGGATTAAACCAGAGCAGCTGCTCGGGGGTTTAATAGTGTTAGGGGCTTTAGGGCCTGGTGGTTTTGGTGTTTAGGACGACGCCACTGGTAGTGGAATTCGCGACATCTCGCTTGCGCATGCCTGCACCGTGAGGTACCAAAGAAAAGAAGCGGAAGTTGTGGCGAGAAGCGCAGGCACGTCATGGAAGAGAGTCCGAGATGTACTCTACTCCAAGGTCACCATGTCCCAGCGAAATGGACTGCCCTTGGCAGTGATCGCTTTGATGCAGCCGGGCGGCGGTGGCGAAGTGTGCAAATATCAAGCGAAGCTTTGCAGCCAAGTTTTCGGTACAAACGAGAACTTGTGGCAGCGGGCCGGGTGCCGTGAGACCCGTCGTCAGAAGAGCTGTGTCAAGGTCCAAACGAGTTAGTCTAGGAGGAGTGGCAGAAGAATCTGCGATTCTGCCCGTCTCCACTGTCAGCACGAGACGTGGAGACAGACCGCGAGAGCTTGGCTTCAGGAAATAATTGCGGACGAGGCCATCGGAAGCATCAGAAAAGAATGCCAGCACGTGGCTCGTCACACAGCATCATGGCTAGTGGGAGACGGGGCAATGGTATGCAGTGTCCCCGTTCTCTAGCCCAGACATGATGTAGATCCCGTCATGCCACCGCAAACACGTGTGGTCTCCTTTGCCAAACGACGACTTGATGCCCGAAGTGGTGCGCAGCGTGCTCTGGTGCTTGCACCCTGAACCGCCGAAGCCGAAGCCGAAGTGCATTGAAGATAACGCATCACGGCAAGAACTCGCCTCTGAGCAACTGACGAAGACCTGGGCACTCCGGCTTCAAACATTCTGCTTCGAGCTGTGCCTTGGTATGCAAGCAGACGTCGAGAGTCTTAGGGAGTTTGGGGGTCAGGGCTTCGGAATGTAAGCTGTGCGAGTTCACCGGAAGCGGGAGCTTCATCTCACCTTTTGCCCAGCTCGGTAGGGGGAACCTGTTAGGTGGACTCTTTCTAGGAATGGACAGCCCAATCGTACAAGACTACCTTGGTCCAGCTGGGACGCGGCCCCTGAGACAGAGGGGATATATACAGAGTTTATTGCCTCCTACGTCAAGGTTCAGGGTTTCGGATTTCCCTTGTTTTTTGGAACCCAGACTCTGCCAATCAGCCACTTCCCAGCTGATAGGTTTCGGATTCCCTGAACCCCCAACCCTGAAAAGGCAGCAGTACACGCTCTGTAGCAAACAGCTGCTGAGTTATTCAGACAGAGGCTTCCCTGACTTGCTTCGTGTCAGGATGGACACATGTCCAGCATCTCCCACCGTTATGGCATGCGCAGATGTTGACCGGAGGCAGTGCTAGTACACTAGGAGCAAGGCGCAAGGTCAATCGGCATTCTCATTCCCTCGCTCATTCTGGAACCGGCTCAAAATTCGAGGGGCCAACCTTTACGCAGGGAATGTTGACGTCGGTTTGCAAATGGGGACAGCAGATGGTACTGCGAGGCAGCAGGAAGATTCTGACAGCCTGGCAAATCTCATCATCGGTGTGTGAGCCCGCGACGGCCAAACGACGCCTAAAGTCTTCTAAAACGAAACGACGGAGAGGCTTAACCCCTAAAAATCCATAAGCTCGGCAGTCTGCCTTCCGAGTCGACCATTCGCCGGCCATCGGCGAGGATGGGGACACCCTGGTCTCAGAGAGAAACAGGAACCACAACGGAGGGACTCAAAACCCTAAACCCTAAACCCCAATAAGGGTTTAGGGCTTAGGGTCAATCTGACAATGGCCGGAGCGACCCCGAAGTTGGTTGGAGCCGGAGCTCGTCCTTTCCTCATGTGACCTCCACGGAAAAGAGAAAGATTTTGAGAGACCCGGACCAGTCTCGGAGTGGGCCCGAGACGAGCAGAAAGGATGCTTTTCGTGCACGTGACATCATTCTCGAGGAAACTCAGAAGTCAAAATTGCGCACGATGCGAGCTCGGGGCACGCGGACAGCTTAAGTGGAGCGCTGCATGTTCGGCACCCTTGTGATTATCTCTCTTCGGCATAGGTCACTTGGAATGTTGCACGTTCCAACTTCACGCACCAACAATGACACGCCTGGAGATGTAGAGCAGAACCTCACGTGAACACGACATTGGCTATTTCTCGAGCTTTTGGATGCCATGGTTTGCCTCTTCGGTTTTGCATCACCCAGGGATAGGACATGAAGAATCGCAACTTGGTCCATGGACATGGAAGCTCTTTGAGGGCTTAAGGTTATGAAGTACAAGCAGCCCACTAAGAGCTGACTTGGCAGCCCTTGCTTCCCCAAAAATCCTTTCAACAAGAACCCGAAACAGGTGCCCTTTACCGGTTGATTCTCCCAGTGCACGAGTACCCTTCCACGGAATCTGCACACTGGAGGCTGCTTGCAGTTCTCAATCCTGCAGCTGGTGCCTCCTCGGATGCAGCCCTAAATCCCTAAACCCCACTACAAAGTAGGATCCTTATCATAAGGGCCCTTCAGCAAGAAGGTACACCTACTTATAGGGAGCCCGGGAAAGAGTGGATCATCGCAGTCGGTGGCAGCGGCCTTCTTCAGCTCGAGAGCAGTGCTTCGATGCCTGCGGGGGATCTTCTTGCAGGACACACCGAAGGGATCTACGAAGGCTGCTTTAACAGCTTTGCCAGGTTCAAAATGAAGGCTGCTTTAACCGCTCTCTCAGGGTTCTGTCCTGAGGGTTTAGGGCTCATGGTCATGACATCTGCAACGGCCCGGCAGGATGTGCAACCGTCGCGGTCCCAGGCCGTCACGTCTGTCATCTTCTTTATAGCAGTGTCCGTTTTCTTTCTCCACGATGGGTTAAGAAGAGACATTGATGGAGGGCTGGACTTCGATCTTAGGCAGATCGATGCACCTCCTCACATACCATCACTTTAAAATGGCGACTCGGTTCGCGACTCTGAAACACCTGGAGCGGATGGGAACCCAACAGGACTAGGATCGACTCGGCCCAGGCCCCGGCCGTGAATCAAGTTCGTTTTCTGGCCGGACGCGGGAGCAGGCTATGGCTGGAAAGCCTGGAGATCTAAGACAGATATGGGCTCTGCAAAATTTTGTGTGACGGGTCATCCTTGCATGTCTCTTTGTTGCCGATGCAGAAGTTCTCGGTAGTTGAAGCCGGCACTAACAAGCGCATACAGCATCAATGAAACATCGCATGTCTGCGGCACTATGTGATCACCGGCACGCACGGGCACCTGAAAAGGCTTCCGGGATTGACCCACCTCATGCAGGGGCTACGACACGATGCGCAACCTGTCTTTCAGGAGTGCATTGGGGCTCTGTGCCTAAGAACCCCACTGCATGGATATACGGAGCCGCTGATTTTCGGACCTCTGTAAAGCCGAAATTCGCAAGACCTCTCCCCGGACTTTTGCATACCCTAAACCCTAAACCCATAGCCGGTTGCAACTTTGCCTGCGTGACCGTTGCCATGCTGCTACACAGAGTGGGCAGTGCTGCGAAGCTGCAGAGCTGAAGCTGCAACATGTAGCCCACGTGCGGGAGGCTCAGTTGGGTGAGCGCTTTGGCGCACTGTTTGCTACAGTTTCACGGCTTCCTCTCTCTCCCTCCCTCCCTCCCTCCCAGGCACTCGAGACGTCAAGCCATGGCTTCCTGAACCCCCCAAGCCCTAAAGCACCTCGGAACCTTAAGCAGACGCCTCGAAGTGCAGACGAGGAATGCTGATCGCAGGAGATAGATCCCATGTGTTGTCGTAAGACCTGGGCCCTAGGCCGAGGCCTGCGAGTGCGGTTTAGGGTTTAGGGATAACTTATAGGGCTTGTAGGGTGTATAGGGCCTATGGGGCTTATAGGGATTGTAGGGTTGAAAAGGGGGAGCTGCTCACAAGCTTGTATCTACTTGCACGTCAGATCTGAGGCAGGGGGTCTGCCTGATCCTGATTAGGATGTGTTTCCCTGTGCTGACGTCAAGAGGACAGTGCATCTAGACAGCCCTAAGCTTTGCCCTCAACCACTTTTGGGGTGGTGGGGGCAGAATTGGAAACCAGAGGGGGCACCCCTCCAGGCTTTTCGGATCTTAGCCTGGGTGACTTGTTTCGGGTCCGGGTGACGGGCCGCAAGATGCTCGACGTCCGAGGGAGCCCTCTTAACGGAACCCTCTTAACGGGACCTTTGTAGGCATCTTCAAAGAGACTCCTTCCAGGAGGCCCTTGTCGGTAAAATGCTTCGCTTGAAAGACTTCGGGGCTCCAGCGCCCGGGCGTCTCTGGGGATATCGTTTTCGCCACGTGGGCCTCTGCGGGCCGCATCAAAGCCCCTGCGAAGCGATGATCGTTGCAGGGCTTAGGGTTCAGGGGGTTTTAGGGAAGAATCTTCCCTTAGGGGCTTCTAGGCAATAATGTCTTCCCTTATGGCCTACATAAAAATATGACAGTGCAGGTTCCTGCTCGGCCTGGCCCGAGCAAGCCACTCGCTGGAAATGCGTCTTGGTCGCTTTCGTAAATAGACCGCACGGGTAAAAGGGCAGTATACTTATAGCAGCCATCAATGTACTTATGTCTCTGGCCCCTCCTGTTTGGTAGCTAGGCGATCAGTGGAGGATGGGAACCCCTCTACTTTGAAGGCTGTTGTGGAAAGAGGCGGCATCGGCAACTGCCCCCCACCTTCTAAGCTTTGTCGTGAGGCGCTTTAAGAAGCCCATCTCGATAACTTTGAACTGCACATGAGAAGCACGGGAGGAGGTTACCCTCAGCATCTGGGTGGACAGGGCCTTTGGAGGGGCCGAGTACGGAGATGCAAACGGCAACGGCCTCGTGGTCAGTCCTACAAGATCAGCAGACGCCAGCGTCCCTAGGACCGCATGCAGCAAGTGGCCAGCACCGCAAAGGAGCTACGGGAAAGCATGGCAACAACCTAAACCTCGCTTCCCGCCGATGTACTCATGACCGAATGGACATCTTTGGCCAAAAAGGGCCATTTGCTTCACCGGCTTCACCTGTCCCTTGCCATCTGTGTGCAAGTTGGGCTGTTACTAAGACTGGCACAACTCATCCGGAGCCCCCGGACGCCTATTCGCCCGGTGATATTGTACAATTTCCTTTTCGCACGGCTCAAGCACTTCCAACTTCTGGGCAAAACACTTCGGCTTACTTGACCAACCTGGCGGCTCTCTGTGAAAGATGTGAGAGCTCGTCTGAAACACCATTCATTGCCCTCACCTTTGGAGAGCTTCACAGCCACAAGGGATTTTCCCACTCCTCAAAGCCCCCCTCCCTTGAAGCCCCCTTTAAAGGTTGAGAGGCCCACATAGAGACCTTCGGTAACTCGGCCAACGCAGCCCTCGACAGAACCAAGGCAGCGCCGGAAGCTCCGGCCCCCTGCTTTCATAGCCCCTCCCCAACATGGCCATCAGGAGCACCAAAGACAAGTCAACGGAAATTTAATAAATAAAAGCCTTGAACTCCTAGGTTTTTGATTGCCTTGCGGAGGAAAAAGCAGCCGTTGAGCTGTGCCCGTGGCCAGCACGAGGATGCGTGATGCGGGCGCAGCTGCGGAGACCCGGCAGCTCCCAGCGCCCGGAAGGCGACGCCGGGAGATTGCAGGAAAGCGGTGTGCCAGCTACCAGAGTGAACCGAGTCGCCTCGGCTAGGTCTCTGGGGTCCTCAAAAACGCCGAGCCAAGGCCCAGCTTCTGAAGCAACAGCTCCCTGCAAACTGCAGCCTGAATCCGCATCAGCGTGCTTCTTCCTGCGAGAAGATATATATATATATATATATTTATATATTTACACACACACACATACACATCTGGACAAGCACGCATACACCCCGCAAGTAGTAGGTAAGATACTCCAACTAAAGCCGTAAACCCGGAGCACTGCATCAAGAACGATTTCCAGCTGTCTAGAAACTCCCGTCTCTCCTCCTCCGTCGGAGTTTGTCTTGGGGGAGCTCGCAGTCAAAAAAAATGGCGCGGCGACCTCTCGAACACCACCTTGGTATCTAATCAACGGAGTAATTCGAAGAGGGGGTTGAAGATTTTTCCTCCCACTTAGCAAGGACGGTTTAGGGTTTACGGTTTAAGATTAAGGTTCAGGGTGCTGGGGTAGGTTGGAAGAGATTCACGCTTTCGCGTAATTCAGCAAAAGAAGAAAGGGCTGCTGGCTTCCCAAGGCTGTGCGGTCTGTACTGGTGGAGTCGATCCGAGCAGAAGGCCAGCATCCGATCTGGACTGGAGCGATTTATATCAGACGGCTTTCGATGAAGGGTATTCTTGCTCGAAGAGGGTAGGAGACGAGATTCTTAGAGCTAGAGGTTGTGACAAAGTATGTACATCACGAAACAGCACGACCGTGGTGATGACAAACATGCTGACCACCAACATGGGTAGCTCGAGAGATGGTAGCATTGGAAAAGGACGCGGTGGCACTACCACTAAAGCAGTACAGAATGAGCGGCAGCACAAGTAGCAGTCACAGTAGCCCTGCTAGTTGCAGCAGTAGTCTTAGTCGTAGCGTTAGGGCGGTTTAGTACGATGATCGCCAGCAGCAGCAGCAGCAGCAGTAGCAGCAGCAGTACCACTAGCAGGAGCATGTAGCAGCAGCAGTAGCAGTAGCAGTAGCAGTAGCAGTAGCGTAGTAGTAGCGTAGTAGTAGCATTATTATTATTAGTAGTAGTCGTAGTTGTAGTTCTGGTAGTAGTAGGCCCCCCCTACCAACAACATTTGCTAAAGCTCGGAGTAAGGACTCTCCGCTTAGCACCCGGCCCAAGTGCAGCCAGCCATGCGTCTAATATGGGGGCCTCAATACTTAGAAGAAGTCCTTGTGATACGCCATACTATACTCAGAATTAGGGTCCCTAAGCAAAATTATTGTCGGCCGCTACAGCACCCTAAACCCTACTGTCAATCAGCCCTGTGTCTAGCACTGGCAAGCATTCCAAGAATCGCTTCTGAACCTAACCTGTGAGCCGAAAGCGAACTGTGGCTCTTGGGTAATCTAAGGGCCTTAAGGGTTCGAGTAAGGTTTCAAGCGTTTTTTTTGGTAGGTCTTTTTTAGGAGGCTTGCGAGGGTTTTGATCAATGTGTCTGACAAAGTAGAGTAGGATTTTATTGGCTTTTACGGTAAGGACTACGAGGGGATGGTTTCACCATTTATTCCGACCCTGCATTATTCTTGGGATGCAAGCTTCGATGCAATGTGTTTCATTCGGTAGCTGTGAAAGTACTGGCCGCTTTGGGGGCGCCGACCCAGCACAGTGGTGCCGTGTCAAGACACTGCCCAGCAAAATCGACCAAGCACAGTAGTAGTACGACCGCGCTGTGTGCCCATCGATCGGTCCATGTTTCCATGCATCCACGAAATTTTCTATCTCCCTGATATAGGGGCCTTAATCATTGGAAAAGGGTGTTTGGGTAAAACTACGCCACATAGTAAAAAGAACCCGCAACAGAGTATTCGTAGTTATTTCGGCTCCAGAACTGCCTCCCCAAACCAAGGCAAGGAAGGTTCTTTTTCGAACCTCGACCTCTGTGACTGCACCCCTCAACGTGGCACCATGCTCCGGCAGACACTCAGGCAGAGCTTTGCAATGATCCTGAGCTGCTTCTGAGCTGTTGGCTCTGTTTCAACCCTGGGACCCTGAACCTAAAACCCTAAACCCTAAGCCGAAATTTGAAGACCCTAAACCCCAAAACCGAAACCCTAAAGGCTGAACCCCAAAACCCTAAGCGCACAGGGGGGAGTTTTGCATGCCGGATCTCCTCTGCAGGATGTGCTGCTCTAAAGCTCACACACCATGGCCCGGCACCAAACTACCATGCCCCCGAACTCCAGGTCAACCCCCGAAACCCACCCGAGGATCCCTGGGTGGGTTTAGGGTTTCGAGTTTCGGGAAGCCGACCCCAACCCTAAACCCTAAAACCCTGAACCCTAAACCCTAAAACCCTAAACCCTAAACCCTAAACCCTGTGTTGTGTGTTTCAGCACAAGAATCTCGAAGACATTGAAGTGCCAGCGACCAAAGTGGATCGCAGGGATGGCCAACCAGTCATTCCGACTGGCAGCCGTGAAGTCTTTCAGCGCCTTGTCCTGCAGAGAGGGAAGATATGAGGGTTTTAACAAGGGTTTAGGGTTTAGGGCTTTTAACAACCCTTCTAGTAAACCCCTCAATGACTCATATGAAAAGGGGGTTATTGCTAGAAGGGCTCTTACTCCCGGGTTACTGGGAGTCTTATGGTTTGGGGCTTTCAATGCTTCGGCTATAGGATCGGGTTGCACATGCTCGGTTTGCATCCGTCTGCTGTGCTCGGCATATGAGGGTTTCCGAAAATAGGGGACCCTAACATAGTACCCTAAATAGTAGGATCCTTATTATAAGGACCCCCAAATAAGGTACCCTAATTTTCGGAAAGTCCCATATGAGGGTTGACGCTTTCACATCTCGGACAAGCCGGGCGACGTCCAACTGGAGCAGGTCGGCGTGATACTAAGTTACTGAGTAAAGCCCCTCTGAGGGTTCAGGGCTTACGGTCGGAGATACATACACACGCACACACACACACACACTCACATATATATATATATACAGACAGCTGTTGCTGAACATTTGGATGTGCACCTGTTCACGAGAAATCGTGGTTGGACGTCAAAAGCCGTCTGTGCGCTTCCGGAGCTCTACTGTACCCATACGGTACTTATTCACTGCACAGAGAGACAAGTACACATGAATTCACCAGCAGAGCTCAAATCACTCTCAAGGATCCATCTACAATTTTCTTAAGCAATCCTTCCCAATTACTGTAGACCTCCTTGAACTGTTAAGAACTCTGTGACTAGCAGAGTGGCAAAGCCTAACCCAAGCGCAGAACCCACTGAATCCGAAAACAGCCGAAGCACTATTGCTGACGCAATTTGGAAGAATTTCCCACATCTAGAATCTAGTTACTCTGACTGTTGACATGGATAGGTGTTATTATTATTATTTATTGGTATTACAATGACACGAAGTTCTTATCAACATGTGTAACCCTCTTGTTCAGCCGAAACCCTGAACCCTCAGTCCTTGTCCGCACTGGCTTCAAGAAGGAGGAGCGCTACATGGAGGTGATCGCGCTGGGTAGCCAAGGAAAGAGCGGTGGCTCCATCCTAGCCCAGATACAAGGGGTTAAGGTTTCTATACACAAGGCTTACTTTCAAGGTTCTTTTGGGGGTTTCCACAGGGGTCTCCATGAGGGTCATCATCGGGGATATGAAGCACTGGATAGGCTTAACTTAGGGCATGACCTTGGTCTTTCATTGCGCCCTTAGAGCTTTGGACTCTCGCGATCGCTGCCAGACTTGCCGTCCTCGCCAATGGAACCCGCGAATTCCCTTAACCCTAAACCCTGAACCCTCAAGAACAGGATAAATGGAAATGTTGAATTTCGCTTGGACTTGTTCAAAATTGAAAAACAAGAAAAAGAAAACTCGCTCAAGACTTTCACTCGAAACCCTGGGACCCAAACCCTATACAATTTCTATAAAACGTGGAGGTGGAGGTGTGTCAAATTCTCAGAGAAGGAGAGCTCGGGCTCCTTGAAAGGATCAAGTTCCACCCCCGAGTTAACGGTTTAGGGTTTAGGGTTTGGGTTTAGGGTTTAGGGTTTAGGGTTCACGGTTTAGGGTTAACAACGGGGGAAGATGGGTAGTTCTCTAAGCTAGGGGGATCTTCAAAAAGGGTATCTATAGGGTTTCTACATGGGTATTTTTTTGGGTAGTTCTCTATATCAGGGCTTTTTTTTGGGGGTCCCCCAAGCAGGTACGGCACCCTTAGAAAAAAGGGCCCTACAAGGAATCCCTATTTGGACACCTACCCAAAAAAAAGGCCCCTAAGAGTTGGTTCTTGCAGAAACCCTTTTGCAACCAGGCTTTCCACTTCGCCCGGAGTTGGAGCAAGCAGCCCTAGCAGCTTCACTGCAGAAACCCTGAGCCCTAAACCCTAACTCTTTGACCCAGGCGTAGCCTTCCGCGGCAAGTCGTCGGCACCAGCACCAAGCAAGGCTCGCACAGCATCCTTGTGCCCACGCTGTGCAGCGAGGAGCAGGGCCTGAAAATCAAGTAGGGTCTGTTCTTCTAGGGTCCAGCTATGAGCTCGTATGACTTCACTTCACTTAGAACAACCCGCAACGTGAGCACGGTTCGCATGTCATACTATACCCGTTCTGTTGACTTTCCGTAAGTAGTCTTGCGCAGGCATCTTCCTAAATCTACCCGTCGCATCGACACTATGCCAAGCGCTCTGAGGTTCAGTGTGTACATTCAGGACTTGGAGACTCGCGCATCAAGGTGTGAACGGTTCCGGCACGATGTTTTCTTTGCAGCTCGCACCCTAAACCCTACAGTTTAGGGCCTAAACGCCTAAACCCTTAAACCCCTTCAAGGAACCCTATAGATCCCTTTAAGGAGCCTTTTGAAGAATTCAACCTCAGTATGAAGGGAAGCAAGTAGCCGTTTCCCCTCGGCGATTCGCGCTGCCGGTCTCTGCTCTGCTTTGGAGCAAGGCATCAACGACCTGCATAACATACTATAGCGGCTTAGGGTGTATGGTTTTGGGTTGAGGGTTTTAGGGTTTAGGGGTGTAGGGTTTAGGGAGAACGACTCTATACTATCATATGTTATGATGTACTATGTTATACCACACTATACTGCATTGTACGATGATCTGCTATAATGTATTACAAGATGCTACAACATATTAATGATATACTATAGTGTAACAATGATAGACTACACAATATGGAGCCCAGTACCCGCTAAGTAAGGAAAGTAGCTTAAATCGAAATACGAAGCCCCTTATCAAGGGCTGGGATTGTGCACTTGGGTCTAACAGCCCAAGTCAGAGGCTTACGGGAAATGACGGACGCCAATATAAATTTAAGGAAGCCACAAGGACTTGGTCTCCGACTTGAAAGAACATTTTGGGTTCGGATGGATTGAAGATCGTTGGTAAGAAGCTATCCATTTCCGTGTCCCGGAATGATTATGCTATGCTTTTTTGGGCAATGGCTTGCTTCTGTCCCGGTATTCTTTGAGCTCAAGTCATGCGCGTGCCTGTGCCCTCCATTGCGGCCTTCGGGCACCCACACCCTAAACCCCAAACTCGAAACCCTAAACCCAACAGTCATCCTAATCTGCAAACCCGAAACCTCAAAGCCCGAAACCTTGAGACCTAAAACCGAAACGCTAAGATTTTTTACACACAATGCTGGTAGGATCTGCCTGAGCA